GCGCAGAAGGGGGGGATGGGGGAGGGGGGAAGACTTCTTAGGAGGAGGCTGCTTCTTGGAAGGCGCGTGGCCTTCATCTGTAGAGAAGGCCCGCGCCTTCAAAGAAGCAGGGGTGCTTCTAAGAAGCCTCCCCCACTCCCCCTACACCCCGCGTCGCGTGGCCGACCTGAGCCTGCCTCTGGAGACTTCTGGGCCCCCTCTCCCTCCTCTCCGTGGAGGGTGGGGAGGAGGGCGATGAGTTTGAGGCGGAGGGTAACGTGGAGGAGGAGGAGGAGGAGGAGGAGGAGGAGGAGGAGGAGGAGGAGGGGGAGGAGGGGGAGGAGGAGGAGGGGGAGGAGGAGGAGCCCCTTTCGTTGCGCCTCAGGGCCTCGGAACGCAGGATGGGGGGCTTCTGCGAGGCCCCCTGCCTTCTCTCAGCAGGCCGTCTCCCTCGCGCCGCCTCCCTGTGCGCGCCGCCGACCCCCCCCCCCTGGGCTGAGGCCGCGGCGCGCGCGCGGGGGGGGAAGTGAGAAGGGGCGGGCGGGCCTTCTCAGAGATGTCTTAGGTCGGGCATGTCCCCCTCTACAGGCGGATCTTGGGCGACAAATGGGAAAAATATTCAAAATACTAAAACAAATGCCCCCAGAAAACTAAACAAATCATCCCTGGATTATTTTTGACCATTTCTAGCATATCCCTTCTGTAGAGGGACAGGCCCGACTTAAAAAGAGAAGTCTCGGACATCCCCCGGCCCTCTGAGGAGTTCTACGAGCCTTCCCCGAGGACAGACAGCAACCCTCCGAAGGCGCGAGGGGCTCCTGCATGAGGCCCCCTGCCTTCCCTCAGCAGGCCGCCCCCCTCGCGCCGCCTCCTTTGCATGGGGCCCCACCCAGGATACACAAATAAATACACACAAATAAAAATATTCCCCATATTTTCTTTTTTTTTGCCTTCTCCCCACTTCCCATATTTTGGCATATTTTCCTGGGAATCGACGATTAATTGTGTCTGTGTGTTTCTTTCCCTCCTGATCCCTGTGCGCGCCGCCGACCCCCCTCCCCAGATACCCGGCCGCTCCAACTTTTTTTCTTCGAGGCGTGGGCCACGGAGGTCTGGGCCACTTCCCCGGGGCCGGCTCCCCGCCCTAGAGTCGCTCTTTGACGCTCCCGCGGCCCGGCGAGGGCCCCCGAAGGAGGCGGAGGAGGGGGAGGAGGAGGAGGAGGAGGAGGAGGAGGAGGAGGAGGAGGAGGGAGGAGGAGGAGGAGGAGGAGGGAGGAGGAGGAGGAGGAGGAGGGGGAGAGGAGGAGGAGGAGGAGAGGAGGAGGAGGAGGAGGAGGAGGAGGAGGAGGAGGAGGAGGAGGAGAGGAGGCGGAGGAGGAGGAGGAGGAGGAGGAGGAGGAGGAGGAGGAGGAGGAGGAGGAGGAGGAGGAGGAGGAGGAGGAGGAGGAGGAGGGAGGAGGAGGAGGAGGAGGAGGAGGAGGAGGAGGAGGAGGAGGATTATCAACGAGAAGGGGGGGTGAGAGGAATCGACGCCCTAGCTGCAATCTTTGACTTGTGGGGGCGGGGGGGGGGGAGCTTGGTACTCCGTATCAAGAATCCCGCATATGGCAATGGGTTCTCTGATCGGCCAAACAACACCCCCCTGCAAGGAACACGGGGACAAGGACTTCCCGTGCGAGACCTGGACCCAGGACTGTCGCCGGCTGTAGCTGGGCAGGCCAGACCGGACGGAGCCCAAGGAGGTCACGGCCCAACCGGTTGCTTGGCATGCCGGCATAAAAGGGCACGAACATCAGCGATACAGCCGACGAGGTGGTGTATCAAGGGGACGGGGGCGGGGAAACGGAACCCTCGCCTGCGCACCCCTCGGGCCGAGAGGGCTGCGACGAGGTACGCACTCCCCTCTGGCGATAATCCCCATCAGCACCTACCCTGCCTTCCCAAAACTGATCGGAGCGACTATCAACGAGAAGGGGGGGTGAGAGGAATCGACGCCCTAGCTGCAATCTTTGACTTGTGGGGGCGGGGGGGGAGCTTGGTACTCCGTATCAAGAACCCCACATATGGCAATGGGTTCTCTGATCGGCCAAACGACACCCAACGCTGAGAATGATAAGTCCCCAAGCCCACCCCCAGCGCTGTGGAAATTAACAAGTGAGAAATGGTCATAGATCAGTGGAAAGGCGGGCGTTCCTGGCACGCCCTGGCGCCTGTGTTTTCTCCCGCGACCAGTCAGGGAGGCGAAGCGAACAGGCTGTCGAAGTCTAAGGCGGCTACAGGAGGCTCGCGTGGTGAGAACGCCTCCCACCGAGCGGCGCGAATGTGAGACAGCACGACGGAGTCGTCGTGTCCGGCGCGGCTCAGGACGTCTGCGGGGTTGTCGGACGACGGAATCCTTTCGAACCACGGCCTGGCTCCAAGAGCCGTCAGAGCCGCTGTGGCCACGAGGGCCAGGCGACACATCGACTCTGTAGGCGACCCCGCCTTGACTAAAGCGGCCTCGGCTGCCTGGTTGTCAGTGAACCATAACACGTCCCTTTTCTGCAGCAAGGATGGCATGGACCACACCAGGAGAGGGGCGGCTAGCAGCTCTGCCTGGTTGATTACATGGCCGCCCTGTGTGCCAAGGTGGGCAGACATGTTGTCGGACACGTCATAAACCAGGCAAGCAGGCGTACGCCCAGGAACAAACACCAGAGCGCCAAGACGCGGCGGCCGACCACTGTCCGCGGAAGCGTCTGTGTAGACCACCACGGGTGGAAACGGGTCGCGCGCGATGGCTAACGACCTCGGCGCAGCGTGTCGTGCTACGGAGGATAAGTACTGGAGGCAACACCGAAGGTTCGGGGTGATCTCAACGGTGTCCTCGTAGTACTGGCGTGCAATGAGGGCGGACAAAGCCCCCCGACACGGCCGGCCAGCAAGCGAGGTGTCAAGCCATGTGCTTATACTACGCAGGTATGCGGCTTCGCCGGACTGGAGACGCCCAGCCAGCAAAACTTGGTTCACCTCCTCCAAGAAGCGGTCGCGCGTCCCTAAATTAGGCTCAAAACGGACCGCTGAATCGGTCTGGATGCGGCTAAGATCGTTCAAGTGCCCCAGGAAAAGGCAGCATCGACGTCGGCGGCGCGCGCTTTCCATCCGAGAGCGCAACACCAAGCAGGCGCGCGAGCTCCTGGAAGGCCTGTTGGGCGTCCCCCTTGGACAGCGCAAAATCTACGATAACGTTATCGTCGACGTAATGCCCGCCCATCGCGTAAAGCAAGCGTCGAGCGGCGGCTGTGAGGAGGAGCGGGGCCCGGTTGAACTGGTTCACTTCCGACCCCAGGCCAAAAGGCAGCCCGCACAACACGCTGTACATGCACTCGTGCGTGGCGGGGTGGAGAGGGGCCACCACGACAAACCCCATATCCCTGCGAATGGGGAATAATTGTCGGTACCCCTTCCACCAATCTTCCACTGACGCGACGAGTTGGAACCAATCAGGAAGCAAACGGCCGTCTTGCGAAGAAAGTTGGAAAGCCAACGCGCGGGCAATGAGAAGCGGCAGCTCTGGCGGAATAGTGACCAGCGTCTCCGACAAGAAAGATAAGGCGTTGATGCGAGCCCTCTTCCCATCATCGATTAAACGCCACTTGTCGCCTTGCCATATAGCGTGGCGCGCGCGGAAGCGGGCGATAGCCACCAAGCCCGAAACGAAGGTCGAGCTCACGCCGCGTCACAAAATGGGTCGGCGAACCCAGCCTTGATTTCTTCCACTGTCAAGTCGTAGATGACATTCGTCAGGGGGGCCGGGCGCATGCTTCGTTCCATGCTGTCCACGAACTCTCGGGCAGATGGCCCCCGCAGCGTCTCGGACGGCTGTTGGGGCGCATTGTGCCCAGTAGATTTCGAGGAGCACGGACGGAGGACGCCAGAAGCAGGGACCTCCGCAACTATCTCGAAACCGTGGACTAGCCTGGCCGGCAGGCCCTTGCCAGGCCACTCCAAGAGCACGACGAACACTTCTGCAAATACAGTTGAAATACCTGGCGCGCCTGCGATGCTGACATGCCGTTGCTGCAAAGCGAACTCGTCCAGAGGGCGGCCTGCAGCAGCAAGACGTACTAGCAATTTTCGCCGGTGCCGCCGCTGATCGCGGACACGGTGTCCAAGCGAGGCGTTGGCATGGATGGCAAATTGCAGATCGAGCTCCAGACTGGGCGTGGCCGCGAGTGGGTGCGACAGGAGCAACGCCCTGCGAACGTGCTCATCTGGACCCACCCCGTGCTCTACGAGGCCAGGAAGAGCCCGGTCGGAGGCAGAAGGGCGATGTTGCCTGGCAGCCGCGGCGTGCATGGGCGACTTGGACCACAATGCCTGGATGTCGGGGCCCTTCATGGTTGGTGGGGCCCCAGCTTCACGCATGAAAGCGTCGAAGTTGGTCAGGCAAGCCAGATCGAGCACGCTGACGTCCCGCATCGCCAGGCGAACCGACGAGCTGACGGGAGCGAAAAACTGCGACGGAAACAAAGCAAGGGCTCGTTCGAGCAGCTCCGTGCTTCCGACAGCACGTGATCCCTGCCATGAAGAATGCCACGGGGCATCTGGTGGCGTCCGCTGTGCTGCTGACCACGCGGGCCGGCCGAGGCCCAGTGCGTCTGGGCAGCGAACCAGGCCCTGAGCAGGGTGGAACAGCAGGCAGATCATGACCACCAGGCTCGGGATATGCGAAGAGTTGGCGACAGAAGGAAGGCGAGCCGTTGAACTGTGAACCCCGCTCGGGGGTCGCAGCGTCGCGGTGTACCCCAGGGGAAACGAAACCCTCGCCTGCGCACCCCTCGGGCCGAGAGGGCTGCGACGAGGTACGCACTCCCCTCTGACGATAATCCCCATCAGCACCTACCCTGCCTTCCCAAAACTGATCGGAGCGAGGGGGAGGAGGAGGAGGAGGAGGAGGAGGAGGCCGAAAACGGCCAAAATCCCGCCGCTTCATCTTTTTTGGAGCGTCGGGTCTCTGGGTCCTGGGCTGAGGCCGCGGCGTGCTGATCCCCGTGGGCCGGTTCAGGATGATGCCCATGTCGAACTCCTTCCGGTGGTCGACCAGCAGGACCACCGCCTTCATGGGAGGGCCCCCAAGCACGCAAATAATGATAGACACAACTCCCAGGATTCCCCATAATCATTTTTCGCACTTTCTGGGTCTCCGTCTCCCCTAGGGGGATAAACAATGAAATAAACATAAAAACTCAGAGGTCCGCGCGGATTTCTCGGATCGGCGCTGGATCCCCCTCCCTGGCGCGCGGAGCGCGCCAAGGGCGGCGCCGGAGGCACCGCCGGGGGGCCCCAGGATCTCGCTCCTCCCGGATCTGAGGAGGAGGAGGAGGAGGAGGAGGAGGAGGAGGAGGAGGAGGAGGAGGAGGAGGAGGGAGGGGAGAGAAGTTGAAGGAGGAGGAGGAGGCGGAGGAGGGGGAGGGATGCCGCCAGATCGCCGCCGACGCCGCCGCGGGGCCCGTAGTGCTGATGCGCGCGGTCCAGATCCGGGAGGAGAGGTCGAGAGCTCCGGGGCCTTGCGCTGGAAGCAGAGCGCGCCGTCGGGGGAGAGGCCTGCTGCCCTCCCCGCAGATTCCCAGACATCCGATGCCTGATTTTCTCTCGACGCGGAGTCCCCCTCCTCCTCCCTCCTCCTCCTCCTCCTCCTCCCTCCTCCTCCTCCTCCTCCTCCCTCCCTCCTCCTCCTCCTCCTCCCCCTCCCGCTCCTCCCCCTCGCCCCCCTCCTCGTCCTCCTCCTCCTCCTCCTCCGCCTCCTCCTACCCCTCCTCCCCCTCCTCCTCCGGAGTCCTGACCCTCGACGAGGCGCAGCTGATGGAAGCACCTTGGAGCCCGAAGCTTCCCGAAAACAGCGAGGCCGCGGAAGGGCTCCCGCAAGGCCACTCGACAGCCCCGCAAGGCCACTCGACAGTGGCACCCAGCGGGCTTTATTGGGTGCCACTGTCGCGGGGCCATCTTCGGGCGGAGAAGCTTCGAAGAGGGATCCAAGAGAGATCAAGATGGCCCCCCCGACAGCGGCACCCAAAGGGCGCTCTTGGGTGCCACTGTCGGGGGCTTCTGAGGAGAAGACTCCAAGACGCCTCCAAAAATCTTCTGGACCATGGAGCCCGGAAACATCCGTGTGCTTTGTTCAACTCGAGCTGTACGAGACGGGGGTCAATGCAAACGGGGGTCAGCCAGAGCGCCGGATCTTGCAGGATCCTGCAGAGCCCAGGGTGCGGGTCAGTGCGTCCCCGATCAGTGCAATGCGTTGGAAATCCAGGTGCCCCGCCCCCGCCTTCTGGAAGTACTGCTGCCGGAAGCTGAAGCCGCACCCCGGCTCCTCCGCGCGCCGGCTACGGGGGGACGCCTCCTTGTCCTCTTCGGTCTGTCTCCCTGGAGCGCTCCCTGCAAGCTCTCCTCCTCCTACTCCTCCTCCTCCTCCTCCTCCACCTCTTTCTCCTCCTCTTCCTCCTCCTCCTCCTCCTTCTCCTCCTCCTCCTCCTAAATCTGCAACGCTGTGCCTCCTCCACCTCCTCCTTCTGTGTCCCCGTCCTCCTGACAAGGGGGGAGGAGGAGCGTCAGGAGGAGCAGCCCGGGGAGCGCGAGGAGGGCAAGGACGGCAGCTTGCCCCGCTCGGTGGTGCCCCCGAGTCTGGACGCGCGCTTCCCCTCGCCATCGCTCGGACGTCCACTCCCCATGCATTTTTCGGTTTCGTGTTTTTTTTGTAAAACGTTTTCTTGTCCGCACGATGGTCCAGCATGCTCCTCGATGGTCCTCGCCGAGACAACAAATGCACACGTCCGAGCGATGCCAAGTCCCTTCTGAGCCTGTTTGGCGTCTGGGCCGCTGACTCGGCCGCCGAGCGGGCAGCAGAACGGGCCCGATTCCAGCACGGGGGGCGGAGGGAATGGAGCCCGCTCGGCCGCGGAGCGGGTCCGATCCTTGGTCCGCTAGGATGACGAAGACCGTGTGTTGTTCCAGGAGGAGGAGGAGGAGGAAGAGAAGGAATAGGAGGGGAAGGAGGAGGAGGAGGAGGAGGAGGAGGAGGAGGAGGAGGAGAAGGAGAAGGAGGAGGAGAAGGAGGAGGACGGGTGTAAACCCAAGAGTCATCAACGATGTTGGAATCGACCCTCCCTCCAAGCTCCCTCTTCCTAAGCCCCATACAAGGGTTCATATCCACTGAGGGAACTGCCTCGTTGGAAGACAACCGTTTGAAGACCCTGATGCGTGCCAAAAAATCGTTCTCGGGATTCCAGCGCCACGGATCAACCTGACTGTTGCGTCTTGACGATCCTGAATCGTGCCAGCACGCCATTCCTGGGACTTCAACACCGCGAATCAATGTAACTCTCTTAGTTGATTCCTTCCAGAAAGCGATTTCTTGTAATTACGCTGATTATTTTTTCTATAAAAAACTAATGTGCGCGGCGCGAAAGCGAGAACCACATGTTGAAAAGGAACCGCCCTCGATCTGTGAAACTCTTGAGAATGTTTAAAACGAACTTGCGCGGTGCAAAGGCGAGAGTCACAATTTGAAAACGACCAGCCCTCCATCTGTGAAGCTGTTGCCAACTTTCAAGCCTCAGGGTCCTAAATGGTGAAGACGTCTCAAGCGAAACGCGCAGACCGCCCTAAAAACTGGCCTCGGGATGAAGCAAGGACAAGTTATTTAGAAGGAGAAGGAATGGAGGAGGAGGAGGAGGAGAAGGAGGAGGAGGAGGAGGAGGAGGAGGAGGAGGAGGAGGAGAAGGCACAGCGTTGCAGATTTAGGAGGAGGAGGAGGAGGAGGAGGAGGAGGAGGAGGAGGAGGAGGAGGAGGAGGAGGAGGGTCTCTGATGAGACGGCTGGATGCGATCAGCCCTGGGACGCCGCCCGAAGCGGCCCTGCCCGCACAGGACCGCAATGCTGAGCCCGATGGCATGGCGATGGCAAAGCCTGCAGGCCGGACGCCGGAGGCTTGGCCCATGCCATGCTCCTCGTCCCAATCTGCCGTATCGAATCGTCCTCCCTGCGGCCCGGGTCGCTCTCCCAAGCAACGAGCGCCTCGGGGGTAGTGAAAGAAACCGTTCAGTTCAGCAATCTGTCGGGGTGACAAGGGGAGAAGCTCAGCGATCGCAGACGTGGGGAGATGGATCTCCGCGGCCGCAGCAGGAGCCTCTACAGCAGCGCTGTTAGAACCCATATCCCCACCAGCACTACCCCCGACAGGCTCGCAGCCAAGCGAAACAGCCTTCGTCTCATGAGGAGGAGGAGGAGGAGGAGAGGCCGGGGGATTGTGGAGCCCCTCGTCGTTTTCATATAGTTTTTATCGAGTGAAGCGCTCTTTCACCCTTAATATGTGCTTGTTTTTTCCCAACCATCCTGTGGTGTTAGGTCCTGGTTTTGAAGAGACAGCGCCCCGCGTCCCTCACTCACTCCTCCTCCCCCTCCTCCCTCCTCCCGCTCCGCGTCAGCCACACCCACTTCGGCACACCCCTCACACGTTTCGTGGCCCCATAAGGAGCTCCACCGAGGGCTCCAATGGCTGCGTTCGCATGGCGGCACCGCGCCCATTTCGGCACACTCCTCACACGTTTCGTGGCCCCGTAGGGAGCTCCGCCGAGGGCCCCAGTGGCTGCGTTCGCATGGCGGCACCGCACCCATTTCGGCACACCCCTCACACGCTTCGTGGCCCCATAGGGAGCTCCACCGAAGGCCCCAGTGGCTGCGTTCGCATGGCGGCACCGCGCCAATTTCGGCACACCCCTCACACGTTTCGTGGCCCCTGAGGGAGCTCCACCGAGGGCCCCAGTGGCTGCGTTCGCATGGCGGCACCGCAGTCATTTCGGCACACCCCTCACACGTTTCGTAGCCCAATAGGGAGCTCCACCGAGGGCTCCAGTGGCTGCGTTCGCATGGCGGCACCGCGCCCATTTCGGCACACCCCTCACACGTTTCGTGGCCGCATAGGGAGCTCCACCGAAGGCCCCAGTGGCTCCGTTCGCATGGCGGCACCGCACCGGCACACCCCTCACACGTTTCGTGGCCCCATAGGGAGTTCCACCGAAGGCCCCAATGGCTGCGTTCGCATGGCGGCACCGCACCCATGTCGGCACACCCCTCACACGTTTCGTGGCCCCATAGGGAGCTCCACCGAGGGCCCCAGTGGCTGCGTCCGCATGGCGGCACCGCGCCCATTTCGGAACACGCCTCACACGTCACGTGGCCGCATAGGGAGCTCCACCGAAGGCCCCAATGTCTGCGTTCGCATGGCGGCACCGCACCCATTTCGGCACACCCCTCACACGCGTCGTGGCCCCATAGGGAGCTCCACCGAGGGCCCCCGTGGCTGCGTTTGCATGGCGGCACCGCGCCCATTTCGGCACACCCCTCACATGTTCGTGGCCCCATAGGGAACCCCACCGAGGGCTCCAGTGGCTCCGTCCGCATGGCGGCACCGCGCCCATTTCGGCACACCCCTCATACGTTTCGTGGCCTCATAGGGAGCTCCACCGAGGGCCCCAGTGGCTGCGTTCGCATTGCGGCACCGCACGTATTTCGGCACACCCCTCATACGTTCCATGGCCTCATAGGGAGCTCCACCGAGGGCTCCAATGGCTGCGTTCGCATGGCGGCAGCGCGCCCATTTCGGCAAACCCCTCACACGTTTCGTGGCCCCATAGGGAGCTCCACGAAGGCCCAATGGCTGCGTTCGCATGGCGGCAGCGCGCCAATTTCGGCACACCCTCACGTTTCGTGGCCCCATAGGGAGCTCCACCGAAGGCCCCAGTGGCTGCGTCCGCATGGCGGCACCGCGCCCATTTCGGCACACCCCTCACACGTTTCGTGGCCCCATAGGGAGCTCCACCGAGGGTCCCAGTGGCTGCGTTCGCATGGCGGCACCGCACCAATTTCGGCACACCCCTCACACGTTTCGTGGCCCCATAAGGAGCTCCACCGAGGGCCCCAGTGGCTGCGTTCGCATGGCGGCACCGCGCCCATTTCGGCAAACCTTTCACACGTTTCGTGGCCCCTTAGGGAGTTCCCTCTCATTCGTTCAACCTGCTTGCAGTACTCGTAACTGCATATGGTTGGGTCCATCGCCAGGATATTTGTTTTTTCGCCGTGATCCCCTCATACTGATCTTTTCTCGTTATCTCGGTCTCTAGTGTTCTCTCTCTCTCTCTCTCTCTCTCGCACCACCCTTGGCGCCGCAACGGGGGGGACGAGGCCCCGTCGCTGGGGCGCAGCGTACGGTTCGCGGGGGCGCGGCAGCCTCACGCTCTCTCTCTTTTTCTCTCTTTGCCTCTCTCTCTTTCTCTCTCTCTCTCTCTCTCCAGGGCAATGCATGCCGATGCGATAAAGTCCATTCCTAACCAACACCAATGCCAATGCAATGCCAATGGGGGAATCCTTTCGTCCGGTAGATTTCAATAAGAATACTTTGCGGATGATGTCATTACGAATCCTTCTTCGGAGGATTTCAATAGCAATGCTTATGTGTAGGTTTTCGATCGGATCCTCATGTGGAAGGCATGACTAGGAATCCTTTATGTGGGAGGGTCAAATCGGAATCGTTCTTGTGGAGGGTTTCAGTAGGAGTCCGTCTGCGGAGGGAGCCATTAGGACTCGCCAACGCAATGCCAACGCGCTGCTAACGCACTGCCATCGCAATGCCAAACCAATGCCAATGCAATGCCAACGGGGGGATTTGTTTGTGGTAGATTTCGGTCGCAATCCTTCTAAGAACCCTTCTTCGGGGGATTTCAATAGGATGCCTTCTACGGAGGGCTTCGCATGGACCTCTTCGTTTGAGGATTTCAATGTGATACCTTCTTGTGGGGGGATTCAATAGGCACCCTTTTTGTGGGGGTGTTCAATAAGAATCCTTCTGTGAAGTGTTTGAGTAGGACTCGCCAGCGCAATGTCAACGCAGTGCCAACGCATTGCTAACGCACTGCCATCGCAATGCCAAACCAATGCCAAGGCGATCCCAATCCAATGCCAATGCAATGCCAATGGGGGTATCCTTTGTGGTAGATCCCAAAAGGAATCCTACCTGTGGAGGGTTTCGATTGGAATCCTTCCGGGGAGGGGGGGGGGTCAGTATGAATCTTTGATATGGGGAGCTTTCAAAAGGATCCCTTCTTGTGGAAGGTAAGGAATCCTTCTATGGTGGGAGCCGTCCAACTCGCTGGCGCAATGCCGAAGCGGTGCCAACGCACTGCCAGTGCAATGCCAGTGGGGGGAATTGTTTGTGGTAGATTTCATTAGCAATCCTTCGAAGAACCCTTCTTCGGGGGATTGCAATAGGAAGCCTTCGATGGAGGGCTTCGCATGAACCCCTTCGGTTGAGGATTT